GAAACAAAGTGCAGCCCTGGCGGAGGCCAACACCCACCGGGAACGTGTCTGACTTATTGCAGAGAATGCGGACACAGCTCCTACTGCAGTCGTACAGTCCGGGTCAGCAGTTCCCCCCCCCCCTGCTGAGAACAGCCTGGGGTAAGCCCTGCTTTCCCTTCCTGAGTCGTCGGATGGTTTGCCAGAACCTCCTTGAGGCCAACCAAATGTCCTTCTCCATGGCCTCCCCGAACTCCTCCCATGCCCGAGTTTTAGCATTCGCGACCACCGCAGCTGCAGCCCTTCTGGCCTGCCGGTACCTGTCAGCAGCTTCGGGAGACCCCTGGGCCAACCAGGCCTTGAAGGTCTCCTTCTTCGGCTTGACGGCTTCCCTCACCTCCGGTGTCCACCACCGGGTTCTCGGGGTGCCACCACGACAGGCACCGATGACCTTCCGGCCACAGCTCCTAGCGGCCGCGTCCACAATAGAGGCTTTGAACAGGGTCCATTCGGATTCCATGTCCCCAACCTCCCTCGGGATGTGTGAGAAGTTCTTCCGGAGGTGGGAGTCAAAGACCTCCCGGACAGGGTCCTCCGCCAGACGTTCCCAGTTCACCCTCACTACACCTTTGGGCTTGCCAGGTCTTTCCAACCGGTTCCCCTGCCATCTGATCCAACTCACCACCAGGTGGTGATCAGTTGACAGCTCTGCTCCTCTCTTCACCCGAGTGTCCAAGACATACGGCCGCAAATCAAATGATACGATTACAAAGTCGATCATTGATCTCCGGCCTAAGGTGTTCTGGTACCAGGTACACTTATGAGCCACCTTATGTTCGAACATGATGTTCGTTATGGCCAAACCATGGCACGCACAGAAGTCCAATAACAAAACACCATTCGGGTTCAGATCGGGCAAGCCGTTCCTCCCAATCACCCCCCGCCAGGTTTCTCCGTCATTGTCCACGTGAGCGTTGAAGTCCCCCAGGAGAACTATGGAGTTGGTAGGCAGCGCCCTTTCCAGGACCCCTCCCACCGACTCCAAGAAGGCCGGATACTCTGAACTGCCGTTTGGTGCATAAGCACAAACCACAGTCAGAGCCTTGCTCCCCGCAACCCGTAGGCGCATGGAGGCGACCCTCTCGTTCTCCGGGGAGAACTCCAACACAGCGGCGCTCAGCCGGGGGCTCGTGAGTATCCCCACTCCCGCCCGGCGCCTCTCACCCTGGGCAACTCCGGAAAAGGACAAAGTCCAACCCCTCTCCAGGAGCTTGGTTCCAGAGCTGTGTGTGGAGGCGAGTCCAACTATATCTAGCTGGTACCGCTCCACCTCCTGCACCAACTCTGGCTCTTTCCCCGCTAGCGAGGTGACGTTCCACGTCCCTAGAGCTAGTCTATGCTGCCGGCGATCGGCTTGCCCAGGCCTCCCGCCTGACCCGCCGCCCGGTCTGCATTGCACCTGACCCCGATGCTTATCCCTGCGGGCCTTTTAACACTATACTTCAAAATGCGCATAAAAACATATGAATGGCAACACGGCCACCGAGGAATCTCACCTCCTTCCAATAAAGTGTTCAAATGAGAACCTCGTGTTTGTTTAAAAGTGTTACAAAATTGTACATATGTTAGGATGTGGTTTCTGTGATGTACTTTTATAATGAAATAAATAAATAAATAAATTCGATTTACTCATTATCATGGCGACGCCTGCTTAAATTCGATTTTGAATATTCCACAATACAACCACGCACGCCATGTGGTGCGCCGCTGCTCCCACTTTGGGTCGCTCACACGCATTCAGGTCCGTGTTGCATGTGAGGAAATGAGGACAGCGAACACAGCCGCGGAGGCGCCGAACGCGTGTTGCAAATTCGTATCAGGGGAACCCAGGAGCATGACACAATAATTCCGGGGGTCCGGGTGAAGACAGTTAGATCAAATCAAATTAGATCCACCGTTGTGTCGCAATACGTCCCGTCACATCACATCAGGGCATCAAGAGCGTTTATCTGTGACTCCCGCCGCTGCTAATCTCTGCGCTCTGCTTTCCCCACATTGGCCCAGCAGGGGTAATAAGGCCAAACAACCATTATCTATTGTCTGTACATTTCTGCAACAGCAGGGGAGGTACCACTTTATAGTCATCGCACACACTCACGCACCTCTCGGGCTGCACTGGTAATTCAAAGACAGTGGGTACGGTGCGGAGGAGGAGGAAGGGTGAGAACAAGGGTTATTTATACAACGGTACAACGTTCATCTCATATAATTAGTGATCTGTTCTTCGTAACAGGTTGTTTTTTTCCAAATGTATTTGTGGACAAATATAATGAAAGATTCATCAAACATTTCCGGAAGGATTGTTCACACGAAGGCTGAGACACAAATTCAATTAAATTAAAAAGATAATCATTCAACTATGGCGAGTTTTGTCTTTAAGCTTTCTGTGAGTAATCTAGAGTAATACTAATGGTCCAAAATGATGCAAAATTCCATAGTTTTGAGTCAAAAACCTTCACATTTTCTTGAGGGAGGACCCCTAAACCCAATATCTCCTAACAGCTAAATATACAAACACACCACCACAACCCCATAATGTTTCAGTTGGATATATTATGGGATTATTAAAGGCCTACTATAGAAGATGCATGGCCCAGGTATGATGATATAACAATAAAAATCACAACTGACAGAGCATAAAGAAATAAAAATAAGTAGCGAGGGAGATTATTGATGCAAACACCAACATGTAAGATAGTAGAGTACTGGCACTTATTTTTTCTACTTCAAGCACCAGCTAATCTAATTAATAGAGACAATAGAAAAAAAGCATTATTAGAAAAGTAGAAATAATGCAACAGATGTGTAGAGGTGCCAAACTCAAGTTTATTTAACACCATACATCATTCTGACCATAACAAATGGGTTTGGGTTTTCACCTGCTGAATGAGAAGCAATTGAGTTTCACTTTAATACCGTTACTGCTGCGATTCCACTGTATGGACGAAGACTTTCAAATTGGACATGTGACGCTCGCATACCAAGATCAAGTTAAACCAAGAGAAGCAGCCTCTTAGAAACATCAATTACTGTTGTTAACTCTGATCCAATTCATCCAGGAGTCGTTGAGATATGCGGTGGACGGACGGAAATTACATAGCTGGTGTTTATGACTCACTTGCAGAATGATTAGATGCAACACATGGACCCTGTATTTGGAGATAAGAGGCCCCCTAGGTGCATTCATAGACTAATCAGACATCATTGTCGTCATACTTCAAAAACATGCTCGCCTGAGACAAGTAATGGACTTCTCAGAACGTTGAAGAGGCCAATGAGCGGATGTCTCGGCACGTCTCAGTATCTAATTAAAAATATCTACCTAAGACCTTCTCTATTGAAAAGCCTACAGGCCTCTCCTGTCTGCTGGTGCTGAAGAACACCTCTTGGTTCTTTTTCCTGCTTTGTGAGCCCTGCAGGCATGGCACGGTTTCGCAGTGTTTATTATTTATTTATTCATAACTGTAACCTACACTCTAGATTAAGCAACTTCACTGATAACCTTTCCCTCCGTACCGCTCGCCAACACCTGTCTGCCGCGAGCGCACGTTGAGCCACGGTCACACGGACAAAAACGTTTGCAGTCTACCGAGGATTGAATATCTGACTGAAGCGGTTGTTGATCAACCAGCCGGTTAAGAGGAGTGACATTTATTTTTAAAGAAGTGTGAATCACTGCGAGCACAAGAGGTCCTAAATGATCACAAAAAATATCAGGGCCGAGGATGATTGGCCGTGGACAGACAAAGGCACACACGACTGAAACACATAATCTCCTGACAGGCCCGCGTGTGACGGAGATGATCAAAATGCTTTCAGCAGTGTCACAGACATGCATACTATTAACCAGCATTATGTAACACTGGACATCATAAACTGCGTGTTTGTCACTAAATTCCATTATGTTATTATTTAACCCCTCTTTAATCAGCTTTTCCTTAGTGATTTTAGCCTTACAGTACATGGTGCAGAATATCCCTTCACATCAGCAGCATGGTCAAGTAGCAGTATTCCTTCAACATTATCTGTATATAAGTTTATTTTAATTAAATTTTTTTAATAAGCCTTTCCACCGTGCTAATGGAGACGGGTCAATTTTTGCAGGTCCCGTCCGGTGTGAGCTTAAACCGTAATGCTGAACCGGCATTTCTCATTATGACACGCCTGACAAATTAAAAAGTAGCATCGGCAAACTGTGCCAACTTATATTGCATTAGTAACAAGTCTCAGTCCTGGGCCCCCTTCTCTTCTCGCTCTACACAACATCTCTGGGTTCCCCAAGTTCTCCCACACAACTTCCCTTCTCCGTTCTCTACACTGGCTCCCAGTAAGAGCTCGCGTCCAGTTTAAGACTCTGATGCTAGCCTACAGAGCAGTGAAAGGAACAGCTCCTTCCTATCTCCAGGCCATGGTCAAGCCTTACACCCTCGCCCGACCACTTCGCTCTGCTGCCCCGTCGCTCAGAGGTCCCTGCGGCCGATCGACCCGGTCACGGCTGTTTTCTGTCCTGGCCCCACAGCGGTGGAATGAACTCCCCACTGATCTCAGGACAGCAGAGTCGCTGCCCATCTTTTGGCGCAGGCTGAAAACTGATCTCTTCAAGAAGTACTACCCTGAGCCTTCCACTCAGCACTTATTGTATTCATACTGGTTTGTTGCACTTATTGTATTAGTTTGTTTCTGTACTTTTGCTCTGGTTTATGCTCTTAGATGCTTGTTTAAAAAAGGAGATGCACTCATGACTTCTGGTGACTAGTAGTTCTCTTGAATACCGATGTTGAACACACTTATTGTAAGTTGCTTTGGATAAAAGCGTCTGCTAAATGACTGTAATGCAATGTAATGTAATTTAGGGTTTATTGGTTTTTGTCAAACCAGCTACTGCGCTCTCATTTGGCAGCGGCTGTTGAGTTCTACTCGCATGCGATCGAACACTGAAGACGAACGGAAGATGAACCGACCTGGTGCTGTGAAGATGGAGGCTGGCCTTGCTCATTGACACAAACATCAGATGGCAGCGCGTCTTCGTTTTGAAATGGAAATGTTCCTGTGCCGGTCTGAAAGATCTGAAACAAGAAGAAATAAGCTTAGATTTTTTTCTTTTCTTGATGCGACATTGAAATAAGAAAGTGCTTTCCCCACCCAATCAATACATTTTCACTCAATAAAGAAACCTTTTTCAAGCTGCGACAGCTGCTTATTGATCCTTCCTCATTATCACTTTAAACTCACCAGGAGACTCCGGCTCTTTCATCTTGATATCATTCTGTACTCTGAACATATAGCACAGGTCTGTGTGCGTCTGTGTGCGTCTTTGTTGTACTGATTCAGTGTGAATGAAAAAGGGGGGAGGGGGAAAATCTACTCATGATCTGAATGTTCAGACTCTTTATAAGAAGGTCAACATGTGCCTCATATCAGGGAGAATTTCCCAACTCGACCAACAAACTTTTCCTCGGTGCGCCGCAGCAGCCAGATTTGACCCGGCGAGGCTGAAGTGAAAACTGAGAGCGCGCTTAATCCGTCAACTGGTGAAGCGCTGGGTGTTAATGATGCAGCGTGAGTGCTGGCCCCGTGGCAAAATCCTGCACCAGGACTAGTCTGAGTTAGTAAACAAACACCGCGTTGAACCGAATCTGACCTTCACCAACAGGGTACCTGTTATTTCCACTCCATTTACCGCCCATGGAGAGTCTAGCCTGACCTACTGCCACTTACACATACATGTCGCCGCCTCGGGCCGCCACGTCCCCCCCACTCACACTCACTCATTCTTCATCCAACGGAGAGCACTCATCTCTACTCAGAGGCTTAGCAACGCATTAAAAAAAATGAAACACTTTTTACAGTAAAAAAAGAAATGACAAAAAAAGAAAAACCCAGAACGATTGATTATTTAGACAAAATAAGGGGGTTGCTAGTTGCAGTATTTGTCCTCAACGGTTTGGTAAGTATTATGAACTCAACAACTACCATCTAAATTAACTTAACGCCTGTTTGTGGAAGTGTGCGGGAGTTCCAACCAAATATGAAAATAAATATCTGATTGTGTAAATAAAGCAACATGCCCGCGGCGCACTGAATGCACCGCATGACAGGAGTCATGCGTCATTCGTTGGGTGAAGCTGAATGATGAAATAACCATAATGTGTAAACACTCTCTGGTTGGAGGGAACACCAACTGCATCCAACTTTGTGGACTTGAGTCTGGAACATGACCTTTACTGCTGCCTCCCTTGTTTCGCCATTTCTTCTATCTTGATCTTGATTCCCTGCACAGTGTGTCTCACCCATCTTCCCCATCTTCCCCGTCTCCCCCTCTCAGATGTTGACAACAGCAGGATGCCAGGGAAATACTCAGGGCGTGAGCTTTACTCTACAAGAATGCTGAATGAATCCC